GGGGGGGGGGGGGGGGGGGGGGGGGGGGGCGTGACAAAGTGGTATCAGAGCCTAGGTTAAGAAACCCCAGGATTGTACATACATGTGTAACATCTATAATCCATTGAATAGTCTAGTTTTATTTCAGTTAAAGGAAATGGAACCTCACCGTAGACCAGCTAATCAATCGACACAACAAAATCAGGGATTTCTGGATGCCATGTATGCTGCCTTTCAAGGCATGGCCACTAGAGTTCAAACCGAGCGGCCGGTTGAGGATAGGAAGCAAGGTTACTTCTGGAAATTTAGGCATGCGCCTATCCCCTCGTTTAATAGTGAGGGAGGACCCCAGGAAGTAGAGTTCTGGTTTGACTCCATAGTCAAGCACTTGAGTACTATGGGAGTCCCAGATGAATATTATGTGGAATTTGCGGTATACAAGATGGAGGACTTGGCAAATACATGGTGGAAATAGGTCAAGAGAAGAATGGATGTTGCAGGACTGACCTGTGAGCAGTTTGAGACACTATTCAATGAGCAATACTTCCCTCAGAGTTGTAGGGATGAAAAAGTGCTGGAATTCATGTATCTGCTGCAAGGTGACATGTCTGTAAGGGAGTATGAGGCCAAGTTTAATGTTTGGGAATAGTGTCCTAGAAGCATGAGATGTAATAGGATATTTATTATTTAATTAATAAAAGAGTTTATTCATCATTTTATGTGCATATATTTATGAATATTTTATGAATATCAAATAAAAATTTCGTGATTATTTATGTAACCTTAAACATAGTATATAAGTGTTATATACGAGAGGATAGTGTTTAAGGATATATGGTGAGATATTGAATGAGTGTATTTCGCATAATGAGATTATGTGGAACAAGGACACAGACACAATATGAATTTCTAATAATTTCGTTAAGTATAGAAATTCTAATTGAGTCTACCGATGGTCATATATAGGATGGTCTTAATCCTGAGTTCTTAGTAGACTCCTATTTATGGATTTGTGTCTTTTGATTTACTCGGTACGAATTCTGAGATCCTGAATCCTATTCATTGTATTTTGGAGACATGATGAAATAGGTAGCCGGGAATGTTATTATACGAGATGGAATCCATTCCTTCTTGAGAAAGAAGTAGATAAATAATTCTCTTGAGTGTTGATTCGGTACTTGGATTAGTTAGAGCACTATGGTTCATGAATGTGATATATGAATCACTATCCATTAGAGAATCAATGGTACTCAAGGATGAAGATATAATTAGAAAGGTTAACGGATTTTACCTGACTCTAACTATGAATTATTTATGGAGGATTAATCTATATGCAATGACTATATCAATGTCTATAATTTTGAGAGTGCAATTCCAAGTTTATAGTGGAGTAACTATTGTAATTAATAGAATTAATTAATTAATTAAAGTGTTTAATTAATTATTAATTTTATTGGAGCT